ATGAGTAACCAATAGATAACCAATGGGTCTAACTTTTACATTTGTAAAGCCTCAAATTGGGGGTTGCTCAAGTTAGAGAGACTAAGAATTCTCCCAAAAGTGATCATATACAAGAAGTCATGGATAATATGGGTAACCCATATTATCTGCTGGTTAACCTATTTTTTATCCGTATTAAATATGGATCGGATTGGATAATTGATCGATTTTTTTATTATCCATTTTCGATCCAAACCATATCTGACCCGACCCGCCCGTTTGCTACTCCTAGTTGGGGCTATCGATGCTCGGTGCTGGATCCAAGGAACAAATGTTTGGGGTGGTTGTTGTAGAGGGTAAAATGGTAGTTCTATGGTGTTCATTGGCGTTGAGTAGTGGTGTTGCATGGTGACGTTCACTGGAAATGGTGGTGTCATGTGTTGGAATTGGCTGAGAGCTGATGGAGGGTGCATGGTGTCACGTCCCAACCTCGGGAGGCGCAATCAGCGCTCAATCGAGTGAACCCAACTGAGCAAGCCTTATCAAACACTTTCTACCCAACTTAATACGATTAAGGAAACCATGCTTTCGTTTATTTAGATAATAGGAAAGGTTGTACATTCAACATTGATAGTTCGTTTTATATCACAACCTTAAACCGTAGTTAAGTTTCCAAAGTTCCATCCTGTTACAATCTAGAGAAAAAAGAGTTTAGATTTATAACATAGTTCATAGACCTATCCAACACCCGTACATAACCCACACAAATGTCTATGGAGCCTCTAAGGATACAAAAGACAATTATGACAACGTCGGCAACAAGGCCCCGGCTATACCTCAAAAGTGGATATCTACAACAAAAGATGTACAACATAATCCCTTGAAGGAGAAAGGGGCTCACCAAGGCTTTGATAGGAGGACACTCTGCTACGCGCGATCGGCATTATCCGCTATGGAGCCACCTACATTCATTTAAAAATGCAGCGCCCACGGCAAAAGGGGTGTTAGTACCATGGAATAGTACTAGTATGTATAACTAAACATCATTTTATTAGAAAGAACTATCATACAAGAACAAGAAAATCACAAGAGACAATCGAAAGCTTTTAACCGAACACCACATCATCAAATACAAGAATCATATAATCTTTCGCATAATTTCCATAGCTTTAGTTTGGTGCACTTCATACTGTCCATCATCACTCACAATACCACCGCTTCCTAGAGCGGAGTCCTATCACGACCCGATCGGCTAGGTTGCCTCATTTGAGACTTGTACTTCAATCACAATCTTATTCTCCCTTTCCAGAATTCAATATCAGCACAATACCACCATGTGTGCGGCATGGCGTCCGATCACGGCTCGATCAGCTATGCCGCCTTACCGAGGCGTTGTTCCTTTCTCATTAATCATCTCGTTTCAATCTTTTATTTCACATATANTCTGCACATACACCAACGAAGTTCAATTTCTAATAAGAGGGGGTTTTAACCAATAGCTCAACAGAGCTTTATTTAAATTCTTACAAAATTCTGGGACTCTTAGCAACTTCAATCTATTTTATGAAAATTATAAATTGAACAAAGAATTAGAGACATGATTAAGATTCTAGCTCATTTGAGCACATTATCAAGCACTAGGTGTGCATTGTGATTATAAGACCCTTTTGTGAGAGATTTTCATTATCTTACACCCCAATTGCTATCTTTTTAGTTTACAACCTCCTCATATCCTATTATCTTTTATGCATGCAAGAAAATCTATATTTATACCCATGAACTCCCAAGCTAATTACTCACTCTAGTGTGAATTTCGAAGCCAAAGGCTAGGGCTTAAGTTCTTACCTCTTGGGGTGAAGATCTAGCAGTTTTACTTGATAATATTCAAGGGTTTAGGCAAGGATTGAGTAGGTACTTGATGAAGATCACCCTCTCTCTTTAGAACTCCCTCTCTCACTCTATTTGCAGCAAAATAACATAAAAAGGATCTAATGGGATATTTTTAATGGGATAGGGTCGGGTTTTAAAAGTTAGAAAATAGGAGCCCCGATGAAATCTGCGATCGTATATGCGATCACATAATGGACATGCGGCCCGCAAAAGGGACCGCAAAAATGGCCCCAAATACCTAAACAAATCGGGTATGCGACAGAAATGCGTTCTGCATACCTGTTCTGCGGTCGCATAATGCACCGCAGAACTGCCCCTTACAAAAATTCCAAGGGGATTATGCAATGACTATGCGGCCCGCATATTGATTATGCGATTGCATAATTGGCCGCATAGTTGACCTCAAATTAACCATCAAACTGTCTTACTCTGCGGCGACTATGCGGTCCGCATAACTATTATGCGATCGAATAATGGACCGTAGAAACGCACTTTTCTGGAAAACATTATTTCTTAAAATTTTAATGCACAGATCGATTAAAAGGGTCCGAACTACGGCTCGCAAGCTCGCAACGAAGAATTTTACAAATTTCTAACACATATTCCTAATTTGGTACGAGCTTTCGAGTTTTTGAGTAAAAATTTCACGAGACCTTACACATGGCCCAGAGATATTGGTTGTAGAGTTTCACTCCCCTAAGCATTCCTTTCATTATTATTTGTGCTATATCTGCTAGATTCTAGATCATTACTATCACATCCTGATTGTCTATTTCCATTGAGCATCAGTGCATGGTCTTGAAGGCTCATCTCTAGCCATGATTGAGGGTATGTTTGTGTTGGTAGATACTGGGTTATGTAGATAGAGGTTGGTTGTTGAAAGTGTTCTTGTGGTGGTTGCATGGTTATTGTGTTGAGGAATAGAGGGTGTTGAAGTAGACTGGTATTGGTGAATGATGTTGTCCTTCGATGATGGAAATTGTGGTTTGATTGATTCATTTGTTGATAACTGGGTCAGGGTATTGGAAGGTTTATTAGTTGTAGAGGTAGTGGCAGTTAATGATTGAGTTTCAACAAGGAGTGGTGTTTGAGGGGTGGAGTTTAGCGGTTGATTTGATGGGGATAGTGTAGGTATAGTGTCGTGTGAGTTTGGGTTATGTGAAGGTCCGGTGTTATTTTCTTGCTTAGGGTATTGGGCTTTGACAATCAGTAAGTCATTGTTTTGGGTGGGGAATTTGGACGTTGGGCTTTATGTGGGTAGGTTAGTTTGTGTAGGGGTGGTGGAGGGGATGTCGTAACATAGGTATATACTTGAGTGGCTATAGAGAGGGGTGAGTTGGGAATGCATGGGCCTGTATTTTTGAGGGTGACAGTTGAGGTGTCCACGTGTAGGTTAGTTGTTGCATTTGACATGTGTATGGGTGATGAATCCTTTGCTATAGATTTCATGATTGGGCTCTTGGGGTGCTTTGGGCTGTTGGATTGGCTTATCTAAAGGTCCATGTCATTTTGGGTCTGTAGTGGTGATCGTTTGTTCTCTTTGGTTATTTTCCAAGATTAAATTAAGGGTGGTTTCATTAAAAACTTTAGTTGGTTAGAAAGATCATTCTATCTAATTTTGTTTTTTAATACTTTTGTAATTGGGTCTGGGTTAGTATGGTTTGGGTTGACAAGTTAGGGGCCATACCTATGGATCCCACGCCGTCAGCCACCATTGGTGTTGTACGTACATGGTTGGTTGAGTGAGATTTTCCTCGCATGCACGCCTTTTGTGGAAAGGTGGCAGTTTTTCATTCTTCCGTTTGTGTAATTGGTTGGTTATTAGTTTCAGATGTAGTTGCATGTGGTATGGATGTGGATGTGGTGGGAGCTGCATTCAAATTATTGGTTTGCAAAGGTTGGGGAGGTGTAGATGAAGGAATGCATATAGAGGAGCAAAAATGTTTGGTATGGCCTAGCCTACCACATAATGTGCATAACATGTTGAGCCTCTCATATAGTATTTGTTGTCTATGTGTACCTGTGTACACATGAGTTTTTAGTGGCATCTCCAAAGGTATTTCTATACATATTCGTGCATATCTCCCTTTTGTAGTTGCCGAAGTGCAAGTGTCGACTTTTAGGAGTGTACCAATTTTTTCTCCCTCTAGTTGAAGAATTTCAAAGTTATAAAACTCTGTAGGTAGTTCCGACAAACGAAGACAAATAGTTGTGTAGGTGAGCTGAGTGTTGGAGGATATATACTTAGGTTCCCATTTGTGAACGGAGAGAAAGTGGTTGAATATAAACCAAGGTCCATTGTGTAAGGCTTTGAACATATTTTCTCCCTTTTGGAATTTAACTAGAAAGAAATCATACTCCAAATCAATTAGTGAGAGGTCTTATGTAGGCTTCCAAAGAGTAAGTAATTTAGAGCGTAGGGTTTGATGTCCTACTTTCCTTCCGAATACTTTAATAATGACTGAGAATTTTCATGGGGAATAGAGGCGAGATTTGTCAGCTGATGTAAGGGGTACGAAGGTGTCGTGGTGAAGGTTGCTTGTTATTTCATCCGTAAGATCAATGTTGGTGTGGGTTTTGGTGACATGTGTTGGTGAAGTGGGTGGATTGGTTATTTGCAAGCAAAGCTTGTGCGAATGTGGGAGTTGTATAAGTGGTGGGCTATGGTTAGGATTGGGAGGAGTATCAATATGCATGGAACTAAGGTTTGGCGGTTCTGGTTGCGAGGAGGTGGTGGTGTCGTTCATAGTGTAGAGAGAACTATTGATAGATTATTACTTCCAGTCCGGTTTAGACCTGTTTATGAAGTTGTACATGATATAAAATAAACAAAAATTTCAAAGTATACGAACGAATTTATTAAGAGTTTAATTTATTCACTGATAGTGTAAAAGAATTTACACCAGCATGCCACCTTTACTGATTTCATTTTTTATGGAGGATTACTTGTGGATATTCTTTTGTTTGACCTTATACTATCCGTGTATATAAATTATACTCTATACAAAAAGGGACAAAAATGCTAAACACGCTTCTTTTTTTTCAATAGAAAAATTAAGAGTAATAAAAAGAAATATCTAAATATACTAGAGATAAAAAAAAAAAATTAGCAAAATAAAAATTCAGTGCAATTAGCCCATTCCCATCATCTTAGCATTAGCAAAGTTCTTAGCCATATCAGGATTTTGTTCCATAAATTTCTTAAGCATATCTTGATTTGTAATCTCCTCACTTGTTGGAAGTCCCATCTGTTTTTGTCTTTGATCAAACATCATTTTTTCAACTGCTGCCCTTGTTTCAGTGTCCAAATCAGACAATCTACTTGGCTCTGGCTCAACTTTTTGTGTGTCAATTTCTGGTCCACCCTTTAACAAACTCTTCCACCAGTCAGATTTGTTTTGCTTAGTTAAAAGAATAGAAATTTCTTTCTGATCTTCTAAACTCCAATAACATTCATCAACTTTCACTGAATTGAAAAAAGCACCCTCTATTATTAATGGTTGACCTTTTAGTCCAACTTTGAGGGTAGTGTTCTTGATTTCAACAATTATGAATCTTGATTTTGTGCCAAAAGGAATTGGGACGTTGATCGTAACTTCTTGAAGAGATTGACCCCATGAATAGTTCTCCATGTCTAGGCCATTGGACTTGTTTGGCTTTAACTTCTTGTTTTCTTCTTCTTTTGGGGTTGAAAAAGAATTTTTTGGTCTTTTCTCTATAGGCTTCTTGGGTTGCTCTTGATTTTCTTCGGTGTATTCTGAGAGAATTGCCATTGTTGAAGGAGAAGGAGGAGGAATTATACGCTGTGATATGTGAATTTGAGAGAAGAATTAGGCGTGTATATATATATAGAGAGAGATAAAAGCCTCTTAATTGGGAATTAGAATCTTTAATGGAGTGGGAAAGCCCATAAAATCATAAACCGACTCATGATTGCTTTCCTAATTTTCATTATTATTACTCCCTTTATCTCATCTTATTTGTCGTGTTTTTCTTTTACACACCCCTTAAGAAATATTAATTAGGAAACGGATTGGACTATTCTACCCTTATTCATGTCTTAAGATATAATCTCTCTTCATTAAATATTTATTCTATTTACTCCTTCCGTCCGCTTTTACTTGGCACGTTTTGACTTTTCACGCTAAGGCTGTATTGTGGCCCGGGCCTGGCCCGGGACCGNGTGGTGTAAAAGCCCGTGGTGGACCGGTTCAAGACAATTAGCCCGGGACCGTTAAGCCCGGGACCAGCAGGCGGGCCTGGGCCGGTTCAACCGGGCCCAACGGGCTCCAACAACTATTTTTTTTTAAAAATAATTTGTTTTTTTTTAAAAAAAGACCAACGGTCAGATTTTTAAAATCTAGCCGTTGGCCTTCAAAATTTATCCGTTGGGCACTTTAAAAAATAGTCATTTGGCCCCCAAACTTTGCTTTAACCCCAAACTTTTTATAATTACACTTTTTTTCAATTCTCAACTATAAATATCCCCCCTTCCCATTCTTTCATTTTTACTCACAAATTCATCAATCTCTCTCTAATTTTCTTCTATAATTGC